GATTAAGCTCTGACCATGTGCCGAAGCCCTGGTACCTCCAAGGGCTCGTGAGTAGGGACAGCTGGGAGGAGGAATGTGTAGGCTTCCACAGGACAGGGACTACCTGGGGACACTGTGGGGCAGATCGGGAGGGGGTGGTAATTTTACAGAGAAGTAGCCAGAGATGAGGGAGGCCTGTCTGCCTGGATCCTGTCTGCCTGTGATTCCCCGTGGCTTTTCACTGTGATTGCCAGTGGGGAGTCAGTGGGGAGTCTTCCCCTTTTTCCTTGCCACGTGCCCCAGTGCCTCTTTGTGGCAAGTATTCTCTCTCAAGGTGCTTCTTAATTTTGATTTTAACTTAATTTCATTTGGCTAGAAATATCTTGGGTAAAGAACAGGGTTCTGGCCCACGTCTGCCATGGTTGGTGACAACGGTTCCTCACCATCTGTCCGGCAAAAGAGACCTCCACGAAGGGGTCCACGAGGTCCTTACTGTCACCCACAAATGCTTTGGTGACGTTCGCCATGATGCTGGAGTTCATTTTGGGCAGCCCTTCCGCTTTGTAGAGTCTCACATAGAATCTGGCCCAGGGTCTCTCTGATGGAAACCCTTGAGGGATCAGGAGGTTCCTTAGAGGGGGACAAAAACCAAAAATAAAAAAGCACTCTGACTTGAAAGAACAGAGAGAAAAGCTAGAAGCAATTTGGAAATGCAAAGAAGGATCCTGATATAGGAGAAAAATCTGAAAAGATTAGGATTCGCTGTTAAAATGAGTTTTCTTCCTAGTGTAAATGACAGTTAAGGGTATGATACGAGTGAATGAAAACTCGTTCAGGTCCTGGAATTATAGAGTAAACACTGCCTCCCACTCTGCACCTGAAAAGAGGTGCACTAAGTCTTCTCATTTAACAAACCAGTCATTGAGATTTTAATTCTTTCAAAGAAAAATCAACTAAATTCAAATGAATCAGATAACCTCAGCAATAGCTTGACTATTCTGGGTTATTATAGGAAGACAGGTTTTTCTTATCCTAGAAACTGACCTCCCCGAGGATAGTCATGCCTGTGATAAGACACACCTTGGTGCAGAATCCCAGGCGGACAAG